AAAAAACAGCATTTAAATAATGGCTTTCCTGTCACATAACATATATTTAATAAATTTTTGCTATTTTTAATACTTACACACACACACGCGCGCGTAATTAAAAACTATAAGGCCAAAGTATCAGATTTGACATTAAATTTTCTACTCTGTTTTCCTCCATTTACATAGACTTGGTACACAATCGCACATGTATTCACATATATACAACATACATTTTCTAGTCTTGTTCTGGTTAAGTAAAAATATTTTGAAAAATTATTTAAAACGGGTATAAAATACAATTATTATAATTGTTTTTACTCATTCGAGTAAAGGAGGCCGTACAAAAGAATGTAAAAGTATAGAATTTTTTTAAATTATTATTATTATTATTATTTCTAGCGTTGATACGAATCCGAAAAAGTATTAGTTTTATAATGTGTCTTTACTCTTTACCCCCTAAACAAAACAATAAGTGACAACTTTAGTGGCAACCTATTTTCTATCCTTAGGGAAAAACAAAAAACAAATTACACGTTTTTTTAAATGTCAACTTGACTTTCTATAATATTGAGTAAAATGGTTAGATCTAGTTGAAATTTATAAGTAATATTTATTTGGTGTCCCCCGAACAGGGCGGGTTTCGAAGTTTTTTGTTTTTTGTATTTTTTAGCCACAGTTTTAGAACTTGAGTGCTGAAAATTAGAAGATAACTTACTTAAGCTAAAATCTGATATTCAATTAGATATCAGCGACCCCAAAAGTATGTAGTTTACCCAATATTTTAGAGTTAAATCCAGAATTAGATTTGATGCGGAGCTGAGAATGTATTAGTTTTACAATGATGTTTTTCTTTTGTATCCACCAGTATATTTTAAACCCGAATGAGTACAGTAAGAAGTTAGATCAAAGCAATTATTAAATCTAAAAATGATTTCATTACAATCGAACACTTCGATAGAAATCTGCAAATAGTAAAAATTTGTATTACTAATTCATATTAATAACATAAACGAACAACAGCTATAAATTAATTATAAACACACATATTATCCCATCAATTTAATCAAATGCCCAGACATTTTTCTAACAGAACAGATTAAAAAGCATACAGTTTTTTATTTTTTCGTTTTTATTTTCCACAGACTAGATAAATATGATTATGCTTACCGGTTGATAAATTATTATTATTATTTATTATTTTAAATATAGAGTAAGTTATAACTTTACACTCTATAATTGTTAGTTAAAAATTGTTTAATTATTACCATATAAAGTACCATAAAAATTTTATAATTTAAAAATAACACAAGCTAATAAATAATTTAAAAAGTGCCTACTGCAGTAAAGAGCATGTCTGATATATGTTAGGTATTAAGTCCTCATGATTATAAGATTTATCTAAATAGAGTAGATATTCGTTGTAATAAAACTAATTCGAAGTAAATTCTTAAAAAAAAAAAGATAAAAAATTAGTTGTTTTTTAGTTATCTTTAACACTAGGATAGTTGATAACGATTGTGAAGTATAGTAAGTAATTAATTATTTTTATCAATCACCGATACTTATTCGGTTTACCAAGTGCACTTAAGCCTGTTATCCGAGCCACGGGTTTTCACAGTTTAACTGGAAAGTCACTGGGGCGTATTTTGTAAGATTAGAATACTCAGCAGTTCAACAAAATTGGAAAAAAAACGTTTGTAGGTTGATGTCATATAAGTCATCGATATAGTAGATATATTGCAAATCGCAATTACATTTTAAATACCAATTTTATTTGTTTACTTCATAAATAATATTATACGTAAATAAATAGTCTTCATTTTATCATTTTCGACGCTTATAATTATTGTTATGGGAGTCAAAACATAATTATTTTATGTGTTGCACAGTCACGTTACTATATTGTTCAAAATCTATCCAACGATAAAACGTCTTCAAGATTTACATAAAAAAACTTACAAAAGTGAAAATCCGTAATGTTTTGCAAACTTCTTAATTGTGTGTATTATATTTATCCTATTCTAAAAATACAAAATCAGTAGTAACATGTTAAGATAATAAAAACTCAAGATTTTTAAACAATTACAAACTTTTAAATACAAATATTTATTTGACAATATTGTTTTTGTTATTATACTGTTCGTAACATCCTGAACCCACCCAGAATAATTTTGAAATACGCCATTAAATTTGGCAAGTATATTGTATAGGAGAAGACCTTGTTTTTTTTTTTACATAGTTCAGCTAAGTACAGAAGTGTAGGAATATTTACAAACAAATAGTATACAATAATCACATAGGTATATTATGTACTTCACAAATTTTTTTCGGTTATTATGTCCTCCTCTTACTCGAGGGCCCCAGTCCCAGATCCCATTACAACAGTTAAAAGCTTGCCTAGAATCGTGGTACACAGAATCGAACTGTTCCTTTAATCATCACCTACCATTCGCTCGTTCATAACCGTGGTTACCATGGTTACAAACAAAGTGTTTATTAAGGGTTAGCAACGAAAAGTATATCGTATTTAAAGTAGAAAATTCGTGTTTGAGGCCATCCTTAGGGGTGGAATTTTCGAAAAGTACCATGCCAGTTAGCTTCGCGGGAGTGGACTCAACAACTTCCAAAAGTTTCATGGCGATCGGATGAATGGTGTATTAATGCATAAAGGATATTCATTTATATATATATATATATATATATATATAGATTAAAAAAAAACTTTAACTTGAATATAAATTGATCTCTCCTTGTTTATGCTTGCCGCAATCTGTCACATATGTAAACCTTATCCTACACAGCAAAAATATATTCTAAAAGTACAATATTTCTTATAATAATTATTACAATAATTTAAATTCATATTTTGACAGGAAATATTACTGATAACAAATATTTATATAATAGTTCGTAAGTACCTATTAAAATAATGTTTTAAAATGCTAAGGGAATATTTTTAAAACATTTGCTTTATTAATTTTAATTTCCTGCCAAAGCACAATTAAAAAATATGCGCGCAGTATTAAAATATAGATGCATCTTATTATAAAATATTATAATTTAAAACTATAATTTTGATGCGTGGCAACTACATGAACGGACACCAGGTCGGAAGAGAACAATGTAGGCACTAGGCAGAAGAAGGGGTTACTCGGCATCCGTCAATACTCAGACTTGGCTAATACTCTGATTAAGAGAGTCCGCTGTTCGATAGTCATTATAATTGATTCATTAACATAAATACATATATTCATTTTCAACTAGTTTTACATCCGGAGAGCACTGATTGTGAGCTTCACCGGGCAATGACAGACGGCAATGCGTGACAATTAATATCGTTCCCAATACTTATTTTGGTAACATCATGAAATAATAGGAAAATAGCTTTTAACTCCGTCTCAGCTGGATTTGGTCCTATAGGCTCTTTTTAATGTTAAAAAAAAAAGATATCTAGTTTTAAGTTTTTCTTTTAGACCTAACGGTAGGAATATTTTTATTATATAAAAAACGCTTTGTCAGTTTCAAAAATGTATTTTTGGGGATCAAAGCGGTGGCTCTGACTGGCAAAATTCGGCGAGAGCGCTGCCAGGAGAAACAAGCGACTGTGGTGGTTTAGAATAAAAAAACAAATAAAATTTCAATCGATAGACAATATTATATTGACGGCGACTGGCAAGTCGTAATTGACAGCAGCAGACAGCCGACAGACAGGTACAGGTTTTTTTTTCCGCTAATTTTCCCCAACCGACCCCGCCCGCGTTATTCGCGTATCGCGTGACGTCGTGCGGTTCGTGACCGACCGGACGATTCGGCAACGGCGCGCGTCCCGGTAACCGCGACGTTGCCGGGCCGTATACCTTGTTTATAAACAACACACTTCCCCTCGACGCATGTATATATTATTATAATACCGTTCGTCTGTTGTGTTTACGTTTCCCCTGCCGCCGTCGCCAACACCCGTCGCGGCAAGTTCTGCTGCCACCGCCCCGGTCGACGCGGCGGCTGCTGGCTGGCTGGCTGGCAGGCTGACGAAATAACCTTGGCCCCTTACGCACGTCCGCCACCAGGCGATCACTACACTGCGGCACCAGCGTAATGTCGGTGGTGCGTACACGATAATAAATAATAATAACAAAATAATATATTATTTACAATAAAATATTTATTATATTATCGCCGACGCATCCACTAATAAAGTGATAATATTATTGTATTTTTATTATTATTATTATTGTCGCGTGCGCGTTTTAAGACTTGAGCTGTCGCCCAATCGATTTGCGCGGTGGTGTCGTGTCCATGGTGCACGTTTGATAATAATATAGTTTTTTCGGTTTCTACTTTCTACACACAACGAACATCCATCGCCGATCCGAACGACGGTAAAATCGAAAAATCGTCGAGTCGCTCCTGGGAAATCCGTAATCGGCTGCGCTCCTTTTGTTGTCGCCGACTGGTCGTAAGCAAATACGAATACAACACATACACACACACACACACACACGGGCGCGTGTAGAAATTGCCGTGTTTTGTCTGCGTGTGTATTGGCACCAAAACAATAACAAGCGGAGCTACTGCTGTTGTCGCCGCCGCCGCCGCTATTGCCGTTTTTCTGTTGCCCCTACCATCGGGTACAGTTCATTTTAGAAAGACAACACACGTACAACACACTTGTGCCGGTATTCATCGTATTCATCTGCTTTGCTGTTGGCCACTATACGTACGACGATATCTACCTACGCCCTTTTGTGCTGCTTTTTCACTTATCACTGCCGCTAACGCGATAGTTGGCCATTTCGTCAACACCGACCGAGTTCGTTTCGTTTTAATAATACATATTATTATAGTTGCTGTTTCACTTTGTCTGTGGTTCGAGTAGATACAGCACAACAATAATTATTGTGATATAATTTTGTGTCGGGGTTTTTTTTTTTTGTTAAAACAATTTACTTATGTATGCTACTAGTGTCGATCAATAAGTATTTACCAACGACTTTGTGATGTGCGATACGATGCCTAGGATGACGTCCGCTGAAGAAGCGAAACTACTATCGTTGGACGTTGAGCACTTAGTGTCCGAGATCAAAGAAAACCTCAGACTCTCCGGATTCAAAACGCGAAGACACCGCTCGCACTTTGCACGAGTTCAGCCGTACGCCAAACCTGTCGCATGTGAATCGTGTTCACAAAAAAGACTATGTCGATGCGACGATGACGAAGATACTCAAGATCCCGACGACCCATACGAGATGCTTCAAGTGTTGCTGCGGGAAGGTAGTCTCATCAAAGAAGCTGTGCGACGTTTGCAAATAGGTCTTTCGCCCAAACAAAGGTATTACTATGAATCTGATGAAGAGTCGTCCAGAAGCCCAAAGTTTCGGTACTGTTGAAAAAACTCTCCCTGATCTATATACGTTTGGTTCCTTTTGTACGATATTCATTTGCGTGTACATAAGATGTTCAGTATTTATTGACTAGAAAATAATTTAAGTAAACAACTAATACGTTCTGGGAATACCACTCGTCTATAACAATTTACTATTTTGAATTATCGAAATTTAATTACTACTATTTACCAATAAACTTACCTCAAAGGACAAATTAAATACCTATCAAATTCATTTTCTGTGTACAATTTTTCGTAAGGTTTTGTTAAGGTAAATTATAATGTTCACATAGCTCTTGTTATTCATTTTAATATGAATCCATAATTTTGCCTTAAAAAAGTGTATTTTGTATCAATAAAAATTGTTTAGAAGATTGGAATAATTTCTAGAATTTACATATAGTGTAAATAGTTTTTTTCAGTTTTTGTTTTGCAATTTAGAAAAATCTGTCTACTTTTAATTTTGAAATGCTCGATACAAAAATTATTAAATTATTAATGTTTTTGATATGCTCCTAAAAACTATAAGAAACCCTCCCTTATAGAATTATAAAGTTACCTTATATTTACCTCGACATTATTTATTAATGTAGATAAATTGGTATTTATAGAAAATATCTGTATTAGAATTAGTAAAAAAAAAAAAAATTTAATATTCATTATCCAAAGAAACATGTTGAAATGATAATTAAAATTTCGTTATAATTTCATTTTTGATTTGTGTACATTTTTTTTCTACTGAAAATATGATCTACAATTAAATATAACATAATGTTAAATAATTATATATTGCATGCAACTTAAATTTTGTATGTTCTATAATAATGTAAAGTTGTAAAATCGTTGAATAGTTTATTTTTTGTTTTGGTTAACTTTAATTGTTATGTTTAGAAAATAATATGATTCATTATAATCTAAATAAACTCATGATTGTACACATGCCCAATTATTTTTTCTTGTATATAAGTCAGTAAATAGATCAACGTTGTGATGTTATATACATATTCAACTACTAACTTATCAACCCATTATAACATGTAAAAATGAAAGTATTGTAATACTCCAGACTCCTTTTTCTCATAATAACAATGTATATAAATAATAGGGCTACTGTAACAATATTGATAATATGATCTTGATAATATTGTGATTTTATTTTTATTTATATTAATTTACTTAAAAAAAAAATTAGATATTAGACTTACTAACTTATAAAATGCCAAATTTACCTAATCGTTTTTGTTTGAGTATATATCTACGTAAATATTATACCTAATAATTTATAATTTTATATAATTATAATAATACAAAATATTATTATCATAATTTTAAGATGGTAATTTGCCTTTTCTATGCTGTTGTCGTCATAGGATGGTATTGTTTTTTAATGTTTGTGTACACAACCCTGTATAATATTTATATTTTCATTTTGACGGTGATTTAAAATAGGAATTTTTTTTTTGTATAAAATTAGTTATGAATGGAGACTGTTTTTTTTTGTTTTAGTTGTATTTTTTTTTAGTTTTAACAAATGTAAGGGAAACTTATTGAAAAATGAAAATAAAATGTTTTTAATTGTTATTAAATATTAAAATTTGTTTTTGATAATCTTTCAAATGAAAGATCAATTTGACATTGTATTCTACATTAAAACAAATTGATTAAATACATTGTCATCTTATTTATATATATGCGTACAATAATAAATAATGAAGAGTGTCTTATAATAATCGGTTGTTTGTGTCAATAGTCGATACAAGTAAATATTAAAATCAATGTGTCAAAAGCTAGATTTTTCATAGCTCAATTGTTTGTAACATTAAATCGGAGTTTACATCGGCTTACATTTTAAGATAAAGTCAATTTTAATTTTTTTGGTTATGGTAAGAGTGTTTTAGTTTAAACATTTTTTGGTTAAAGTGGTATGCATTAATTGTTTTAAAATTGTAACAGTGATGGGCTGCTGATGGCAGTATGACAAAATGTCATTCGACATCGCCTTTATTAAAAAAAATTCAATGTAACACTATGCTAACAGTTGGCGGTACGCTATTTACACTGTTTATTTAATACAATTTTCAAAATTAAAACTAAACAGTCAAATGACATGAGTCATGGTTAAATAAAACAACAGTCATTATTGCATTATTATTTATTTAAAACTGATAAAATGTAAAGAAGAATTGTAGGTAAAAAGTATGTAAATATATTGTATAATAGGCGTCTTGTTTGTATTTTGTATATTTCACTAAAAATTGAAATATGTTGTTACTTGTTACACAACTGTACCCACAAATCCGACATTATATTGGACCGTGAACATTAACAACAGACACAATGTATATTTAACATACATATATATTCATACAATGAATCAAACATTACTTATGCTATAGGAGAGACAGAACTAGTTGGGGCAAGCTGATAATGTTGTAGGCAATAAACTAATTTTTTAACAACAAATTTTATTGTCTCTCTTGCACCTTGGTAAAAGTTTGATTTCTGTGCGCGGCTCATTTAATAAAATGTTTAAACATGTTTTTATTTATATAGTAAATTAAAAATATTTTAAAACAAAACAAATTAATTTTCCCTATATTTAGATCATTATAAGACAATATTTAGGTTTCGTATTTTTAATTTTTAAAGTTTTGTCACCTAATAACAATCAAATAAAATAAATACATAAATAAATGTGTTCTTTTGGGCGATATTGATTAGAGTAAACGGTAAAACGGTCCGAATGTAGTTCTTTCATACAACAGTCAACACATTGTGCAATGTGTAAAAGGTGGATATTTTATTATCTCTAGCATTAATTATAAATAATTATTTATAATCCATGTCTAGTTAAAAATCGTGTTTATTATTGAACAGGTTATCGATTTAAGTTAGGTCTGTAGGTATTTAGGAATGCTAACAGGAACTCGAAAATGCATAATAATAATAATAATATAAAGAAAATATATAATGTATAAATATGAAATTAAATAAAACGATAATATTGAATATTATTAATGAGTATATTTTTCTTATCCTTGTAAATTGTATTTATGGACCTTTCGTCTAATTGACTCATTCACTTAATGGACTCAAATACTCAGGTCCCAGTGAGTTCAATAAGCGGCGTCTACTCTATATATGCATACATTATTTTTAGTTTCAGTGTATGGTGAAGATTGAAAAAAACATTGTACACAATGTATTGTTATATGTTTAAACGAAATAAACTTGTTTTTTTCCGTGCAATGGAAATGATCACAAGTTTAAAAAAATGCTCAGCGACTTGAATAACATAGATTAGTAAGTTTAATCTAAGCACTTAAAACTTTAAGAAAAAAAAAATGTATATATACATAGGTATAATTATTATATTGTCCAATAAATTTCAAAGATCAATAAGTCGAAAAAGATATTATTAATTAGACTAAATTGTTTAATAATTATTTATTCATTTTTGTATAATATAATATACTTGGATATATATTTTTTTATTATATTTCATATTCGGACTTTCTTTTCGGTATGCTATCCGGACATTTTCACCCGACCTTTTGTCCTAGGAACTTTTTTTCCTGGGATTCGTCGATTAGTCATAAAAAATTTAAGCAAAGCTTGTGGAGTGTATATATATATATATAAATATTTTATTTTTTAAACCTTCCCAAATCCTATTGTAATAAAGGCAGTAAAAAGTGCACACTTATACGGTATACCTATTAGTTATATAAAAATTAAAAATGATATGAGGTCACCATTCGATATTGTTATCACTTTTTTTTTATCAAAACTTTAAAGTTTGAGTTTGTGATAAAAAACAATGTTGTCACGTCTTTTCTATAATTGTCATTGCTTAGTGTTCTGCTATGTCGACATACTTAACGTTTTTTTTTATAAACGGTCTACGCCTATTGTAATGATTTAATTAAACGTAATAACTATTGTTGTAGTAATTATATTCATTATGACAATATTTTTGTGTTCTTAAATAAATATCGAAATTTTTGTTCCTTAAATATAAGTGTTACATAACGTTGAATATCTTCAGTACAGTGCAAAAAGATCAACAGTTTTTTCGCTTGAATTTAAAAAATTAAAATGACTTGTATTAGGTAAAAATATTTAATACGTTCTTATGTAAATTCTATTAAAACTCATTGTTGTTTGTAATAGCCAAGATGGAAATTACTCAATGGGAGATCACACGCTGTCAGTGCCCAGACATCTTTACAAGCTCAATCAGGAACGCTTGTGTAAAAGTTTAAATAAAATTCCTGAACTTACCGACTCGGATGTATACGTGTTATTACAAGGCGGAACACCGTTGAGTCATTATTCTACCGATATAGAATATGATTTTAGACAGGTACTTGTGATTTAAAAAATCAAATAATAATTATAGTTTTAATTAACTTCTCTGTGTATTAAAAAAGTCCTGGGTCAATATAATTGTATAATATCTTTAGTGATAATACAGTTAAAAATAATACAGTTTCAACAAATTATCTAATCAGATTGTGAAAAACATAGCAAGGAAAAGTAAACCCAAGCAATGTGAAATAGGTTTTAGAAAAATATACAGCCTAAGTAGGTGCTAAAAAATAATTTTTTAATTTACCACATTTTTAAAACAGTTTATATCATTTGCAGTGCAATAAAATTGTTACTGACTTAGATGAATTATTCATGTATCATTTATAGGAGAAATTATTTTATATTTTTTGTCCGCGATAGATTAAAAAATTATTATTTAATTAAAAAATAATTTTCTGCTTTTTTTAGTCTTTTGTGTGTGTGTATAATTTTGCAATCGATTTTAAACATCTTGATGAAATTATGACAGAGACACGTGGGAAATTTCAGGTTTAGTTCAGTTTCTCTTCACCTGATCATATCTTAAATAGAAAATTTTAATTAATTAAAATAAAAATAAATTGTATACGATTTTTATTTCAATAATAAAACAAATTATTACTAGATCCTTTGATAACTTTGATATACGGAATGAAGTGCATGTTGCATTGATGGCAAAGAAGCAAATGATTTTTAGTGGCAAGATGGGAGATCAAACGATATTTTACTGCTTGAGTAGCATTTTTTTTGGCAGATATCACTGCACTTGTCGCAAAAAGTGTTTATGGTTGAATGAAAATCTGCCTTATCAGCTACCTGTTGAACATAGGCCTCATGTTGATGTCGTAGTCTTGCTTCACGTTCCTGACATGTCTGTTTAGCTATTAATTCAGAGTGTCTCAATCGATCTGATTCCAGTTAAGAGATATGCGTTAGGGTAGTCTCAAACGATTTTGCTTGAGCCATTCGTTCCTTAGCATTTGCGCGTTTGACATTGCGATGATTTTTGAGAACTTATTAAGCTTGTTTACGTCATTTGGCTAATCTTGCAGACTTACCTGTTTCCAATTCTTGTTGAAACTTGTCGTTTTTGCTTCTTCTTCTCTAGGCGTTGACTTGCATTGGGTAGTCTTCTTGAACATTGTAAAAATTATAACTAATGCACTATTCACTTCATAAGTTAATTACACAAATAAACCATCAATGTTATAATAAATTACATATAATATAAATTCAGACAAGTATAACATATAGATTTAGGTATATAATTTCTAGCAGTTGGTTGTCACCAAAAGCAACAGGTAGAAAGGCTTTAGATGGTACAACCAATGGTACAGAACAGACAAAGAAACAAACAGACAGGCAAGAAAACGAGTTTATATTGCATTGTTATCCAGTTCTGAGCTATATTTAAAGTTTCAAGTCTCTAGCTTATCTGGAAGTTAGTTTAAAATCAATTGCCAAAATTTTTACCGATTAAACAAGAAAGCGAGTTAATAAAATGTTTTAAAAATTAATTATTTTATGTATAAAGTAAAAGAAATTAAAGAATTAAAAGTAAGGCCAAAGACTAGTTGTTAACAAATAATCAAGAGTTAACATTTTCTGACCAAGAGTGTTAAAAATGTCAGTAGGAACGTAAACTTTAGAAGAAAAAGACGTTAAGTGCGGGAGAAATGTTTGTATTAAATTTTTCAAAAATGCACATGAAATAATTAGCATGCTTTAAAACTTTTGAGGTCAAATTCATCATCTATAAAAATTGTCCATGTTTTATCATGTATTAGCTTAATTACTAATGCTATATTTATTATTTATCATTATTTAGATCCAAATAAATGTATTTATTAAATAAAACAATTTTAAAACGTTTTAAATGTTAATTTAATTAAAAGAAGTGAGAATAATTTTGATAACCCTTATTACGTATTAACGCATTAAGACATAACCTTTGAATATCGCCAAATATTTAAAAAGTGTATTTTGTACATATTTTATAAAATAATTAGTATTTCTATCAATTTTATTACTTATATAAATGGTTTAAACATTAATGCATTATTGATTTAATATTTTAAGAACCTGATTAAATATTTTTGAATTGTATGACTTGTAGACAACATATTTATTGGCAATTATGATGTATTTTTGTAAAAAAAAAAATAAAAGATCATTTTTAAAATTGTTTAAATTGGGAAAATAGGTACTATATAATAACTCGTTTTTACAGGAAAGGACTAAGTTGCATAATTTAATTTATTACTGCTTAATAAATGAACTATCTAACATGATTTTTTGGTAGTAGTAATTGAGTAGTTTTAAACGTAATTTAAGTATCATTAATATGCTTCAGGTTTATGTATTATAACTTTTGTTGTTTGACATTCATGTTTCAAGTATATGATATCTAAAACATAATAATTGTATAAGAGGTTCGCCTATGTCTACTATAAATACCGTCTATTAGACCGACCAAAAAAAAGTGTTTTTTTGTTTACCCGAAAAATGTTTCTTTGGGGTTAAACAAAGAAAATATCGAAATTTGAACTAGATCGGATAATATTTAGAGGTTACTCAAAGTTATTTTGTCTTTCCAATTGATTAACACGTGTGAATATGATATGAGTGAGTTAGTTGGAATGATAATAAAAAAAAACTTTAAAAAAGTATATGAGAAAATATTTATTAGCACTATTAAAAAGTTCATTAAAAAAAAAATCTGTTTTTTTATGTTAATAAATAACCAAATAAATAAAATGTTTTTCTCATATACTTGTATAAGTTTTTTTTGTCATCTTTCCAGCGAGCCCACTCCGAATATTGTAATTAGTAGCTTCATAATTGAAAAAGATATATATAGCCAAAAGAAAAAAATATATCATCCTTACACGTCTCAATTAAATGGCCAAAAAAGTTTTGAATCACCTCTAAATATTATCCAATGAAAATTTTTTTTTCAAATAGGTCTAATAATTACGTTTTTTTTCCTCGCGTTAGGTTTTCACATGGGTTCATTTACATTTGTATATTACTTAAGATAACGTTGGACACGTGACCACTTACTTAATCGTATACATTTTTGTATATTTTTGAATGTGTAACACGTTCACTGCGGATGACTCCAATTTACAAGGTTTTCAGCAGTGAACATATGTACTTTGTAGGCAAGTATTAGCGATTGATCGAAATCAATGTTAAGATAGTTTTATTTAGACGAAACTTTTTTTTTACAAAAAACGTGTTCTATTACCTTATGATTTTTACGTTTTACATAGTTTTTCTAAAGGTATACTATACATTTATTTCCTAAAAATGTTATGGTAAGATACTGGAAATTTTATCACCTAAAAAAAAAGATTTCCCAGAAATAATGATTCGGAGACGATATAGTTTAGTCAATAGTGTATTACAGTATTATAATTTATTAATTACACTAGGTATATAACAAAATATTAATTTTGTACAAGAACCGAAGTATAACATTTTTTTTTTGCTACGTATAGTTATTTTTTAAATCATTATATTATTTCATAGACGGGAACAACTTATAACCCAAAAATTACTATTTTCTCATTTTTTTGTGTTTAAAAAAAATCGTACATTAATTCTGAGGATAGCATTGAATTCAGCAAAGAAACTAGGTATTTGAAATACTTTTTAGAAAATTATCCATACTTAGACACTTTAAAATATCATTAAAACAGGGTGGTTTGTTAAGAGTTTGTATTTTTTTTTTTTATAAAAAAATATTAAATACTAAAAACGTAAGTTTTTCTCGCGGGGGTTTGTTTTTATTTAAAAAACGCTATAGCTCATAGGATAGTAAATTAAAAAAAAAACTAATATCCAAATGCTTTTTGACAGTATGATATATTATATTATATCATTTTTATAATAATTATATAATATATGTTTAAGGTGTGTACAAATAATAATATTAACATAGTATATTATGTTATGTATGTTAACTTAATAAAATAGAGTTTATTATCATCTTTAATCAATAAATAATTACTTAATCAACCGCGGATAAGCGCAAAACACTACTAATATAGCTGTGCTCGTCAATGTAGTGTAATAAATATTGTGTGTTATTATCAATATTTGCGAGTGAATTATAATTTTCATTGCGTACAAAAACACAAACACACTAGATAAAAACAACAACAACAATAATAACATCAACAGTAGCAATAAAAATCACAACATTATAACAGTAATAATATAAATGATTACAATATACTCGAGTTTATTAATTACATTGTGAGTCCACGTTTGATTTGTCTACGTGTTGAAATCCAAGGTTCTAAGTGATTTATGTTAATGTCAGTATTGCTATCAGCCAAAAATGTTATAGATATATAGCCTTTAGGCCCGTTGGGTTCAGACAAATTATTTTAAAAGCGTTTCCACCGAGTAATAATAATTACTCGCGTTGCTTTCAACATGTTTTTATACTAATTTCTGACGCAAACTGCCTTCGCTGCAATAAAACATTATTTTCATGACTGCTAAAGTAAAGCTGATATGAAACGTGTAAATAATAAAAATAATTTATGTTTGAAGAAAAATGTAGTTTTAGTGTTCACTGTGTTGTTTTGTGCCTTATAATATGATTGTATTGTAGGAGTCTACAGGAATGACAAATATAGAATAGAATAATCAATTAATTAGAAGTTTTGGTGTTAAAGTTTGATTGTTTTATAATTTCCATTCTTGTTTCCATATTGCAGCATTTTATTCAATAAAATAATAACCATTTAGTGAGAGCAGTGAGAGCAGAAAATTTGTTAAGATTTATCCTGACGCTGTTAGCGTCTATCATAACTTTTTAATCCTTCAAAATACATACAGTATGTCTAATCTAATTTAATATACTAATCGTGTATAGTGGGTATCTTAAGCGGTCTTGAGTTTAAAAATAATTATATTTTAACCCCCTTAATCGAGAGAACTAATACAAAATAAAAAAGTCTTTTCTATTTTGTTTTATTACTGTAGGTTTTATGAGCTATACGGGTGAACATTTTATTTTAAGGATACAAATTTAATTTTAACTTGCCCTTGTCAATCATCGATTGATTTAGCATGACATTTATGAAACTAATATTTCAGGAACCTTATTTTCTATGGACATTTGGAGTTTGCGAACCCGGCTGTTACGGTCTGTTGCAAGTGTCGACCGGGAATGTGCATTTGTTCTTTCCCAAAATCCCGGAAGAGCATTACGTTTGGATGGGAGTGCCATTGGACATTGAAGAATACAAAAAACGCTATCAAGTCAAGAACATCTCTTACGTGGAAACGGTAAATGAACACTAACAATATTTTTGCTTTATTATTTTTTATTTATTCTTAGTGTGGACGCGTAGGAAAGATATAGCTTGAGAAAAATACGATTAAAACCCGTTCAAGCCGGTTTAAAGGACGATTCAATTAATTGACAATTAATTAGTTGACACTCGCTAGTTGTATGGGAATAGATTCTAGCCATGAGTGCAAGTGCTCTGTTAATCGCTCATTAAGTGATTATTTTGGCTGAGTCTACATTGGTCGGCTATACTCGGAATAACTCGTGAATAGTGAATAGTGTGAGACATTAACTTGGATAACCATGAATGATCGTGTAATTAATTGGAAAAGTCATTCGTCTATTATAGGAGTTTTATAATTAAAGGGTTAAAAACATAAGTGGGGAAATTGTTAATGCTCAAAAAGAAAGTAAGTATGGTCGAGAAATTATCATGCAAGAAAAAGGGGGAATTGAAAACGACTCGATGTGTAAAAGTGTGCCCGAATGTAGTGGAGGGAGGTAAGAAGTGTTTAGTGTGATGATCTGGTCCTAATTAGATCAAAATGTCGATAGGACAGTTGTGCAGCGGTTTCAGGGTGCTGGACATGGATAAAAAACTAAATATCGAAGGAGTGTAGTGAAAATATCAATGTTAAGGTGTGGTGTAATGAGAGAGGGGGATATTAGAAATTAGTAAATAAGAGGTAGATTAGGTGGAGTAGCTCTAAAAAATAGTTTAAGATGGTCATAGAACCAGGAGCGACAACAATGAAACAGTGAAAAAGGTAGAAAGAAAAGCAATGGGAGAAAAAATAGCTAGAAATAATTGAACATTAGGTGAATGGAAGTGGATGGAAGTGCGAAGGTTGGGTTTGACCGTTTTGAGGACTAAGGTGGCCTACAAATAGTTGTGACTTGTTAGGTAGAACAGTAGAAGAATAGATAATAGTTAAAAAATAATAAAACGCCTAATAATATAAATATTCATCGAGTACAAAAGTGTAATGGCTTCTGACCTTAAATATTGTACCAATATACAATATTTATTTGATTTGAGTGATGGCAATGTAGTACTAATTTATCGTATGTACTATGTAGCTTCTTGGGTGCTGTTTAATGGTAAACACTTGGTGCATTCTTACCGGTAGTAATAAAAAAACGCTTGAACTTAACTCGCATGTGTCAAAACAAGTTAGTGTTGGCTTCAAGTATACAGCTTGGCTTAAAGTGAATATAGAAAAAATACGATTCTGAAATACACATGATTTTTCAAATACTTAAATTATAGAACATAATCTCTGTTCACAAGTTACATAGCTTTATCAGTTGTTTTCTATTTGGCTAGTGTTAAGTCTTGGGTTGGCAAAGAACTAAATAATGGGGAAAAATTGTTTTTCAAAACGCCGAAATTATTACTTTCTATAAATAATTTTTCAAACATTGAACAGGGAACATTATATAATAGTAATGATATATAGTTATAAGTATATATACTCAATGATACTATGTATACTCTGTTCAGAATAAGAACAGAGTATATATTATATAAATAATAACTATAAGCGCATACTGTGTTTATAGTTTCCCATAGTATGCTGTGTGTACCTATTAAAACACTATTATTAAAATTGCAGCGTTAATTGTATGCGTCACGGTGTTTTACACGTTGTTACATTTAGAACACATTCGAAAATCAGTTTTAGTAGTGTTTAAATGCGGCGGTTAACACGGGAAGGGGAAGATAAAAAAAAATGTGATAAAAATAGCACCTGTTCTAACATGTGCAAATTTTTTTTTAGGACAGATGACAAATTCTTGTTGCGCTTTTTCTGTGATGTTACGTTTGACGGTTGACAAATATTGTTATTTTCATTTAATTTTGATTTCAACTTGCAATCACGTTGGCGGTAAGAGGGATTTAAAAAAAAATGTTATTACAAATTTTCATTATTTAGAGAAGTTAAAAAAACGAAAAGCTTTGCTCATTTTAAAACTGCAGCTCGTTTTATAACAATTTTTCCTAAGGAATTTGATGGTTTATTATAATAGTCTTCTTCTTCACTGGCATTTACAACTCTATTAGAGTTTTTGCCGCCATCACTACATCCCTCCATTGTTAATCCATTGTTAGTCGGGCAAAACTATTATTTTTTTAAATTTTTTACTAAAATATAGAAATGTAGATTGGCGTTAAGTTTTGATGAACCCATGTTAAAAAATCCAAACGTGACGGAATAATAATTATTGAATAGTTGCCAAACCACCATTTACACTCGGTGTTTTTAATTCAACGGAAGTTTTGAGAACCTTGGCCGTTGCATTATACTATATCTAAATCGCATATCTTTATTAACACAAAAGCAACACACTGCAATAATACTATTATTGTAAACGTGTTCACTATAAAGAGTTAACGAATTTAAACCTTTTTAAAATACCTGAGGCATTAGTTTTAGTCACAAATTATTTATTTCGGTTTTACAGTGTAATATTTCAACATTACATATATCTTTATTGTGTCTGCGAACATGATGTAATATCTGGTACAGGTCAATCCTTTGCCGGTTAAATAACGTATAAACAATTGTCCAGTTTAATAGTTATAATAAAATCAAAAAAATAATATTCATTAAGTTAATTTTGTTCTCAATAGTCGAAAGAACAAAATTTGTAAAAAAAATTAACAGGAAGGCTAATACAAATTTATTGTTTCTTTTTCAGCTGCTAGAAACCTTGGAATTATTAAAACCCTCCGTGATATTGACTTTGGTATGTACTACATTTTTTTAAATAAATATTATTTAGCTTCTTCTACAATAAATATGTGATAGTTATCATCATATTTTAATTTCAAAACAACAACACTCAGAGAAGAGGCAAATTGATTGAATTTACTTCAATAACAGTTAATTGCTTAAATAGTTTATGTTATTATTTACATATTATGTTTTTCATACAGTCTAGTACAACAAACGCATTGTTCTCAAGGTCTGTTATTTAGCATAAAACTATATTATGTATTAAAAATGTATAAATTAATTTTAAGTTATGCAATTTGTTAACTGTGTATTGTATGTCGTTGTTTATTATAGTTAAATCTAGATTTGATTAAATAATAATCGTGGATCAATTTTTTAAAAATATTTAAAACAATAAGAACATTATTCTGTTGGCTTCTTTATCGTTGGATTTTTTTAATATTTATTAACTTAACATTCACAATTTATTTTACTTTTTTAAGTGCTTGTATTAAGGTAAAATTTAAGTTTTCTAAAAAAAAAACGACAAGAGTACCTAGTCAAGGGGATTGAAAGCGGTCTGTTCTTAGACCAAAAGGCCTGACAAAATTTGGATTTCAATTCTGTAAAGAGATACGAGTCCTTAAAACCCGTTCGCTTTCAACCCCCTTAAAGTTCTCCTTTTAACGGGTACAACATATTTTTTCTATGACCATTTTAACGATCTACATATGCTTTTCCATAAACACTTTTTTTTAATTATTTGACTAGGGTATGACATCCTCTTAAGGTTAGTGAAATTGAACAGTTATCGCGAAAAATATTTTTATATCAAACATTCGAAACTGTAAATAATAAAGGTTTTTTTTTAACAATAACTTCAAAACCAATAGATAGGTCATTTGTTTACACCTATACAATATAGGTGCAATAAAGAAAACAAATATGGGCTATATTTGTTTTCTTTATGCAGTCGATGCTATGTGCCTAATGTATGAGTATGTTTCGCAATAACTCAGTGATAATTATAATTTTTTCTTATGCGTAACGACGCGATTGCGTCGCGGCCAAAACAATTGTGTCCAGTCATGTGATAAAGACGTTGTTGTTGTTTACTAAAATATTCGGTTTTCTACTTTCAAAACTGTTTACCAATAAGATGACACAATCGTTATCATATTTTTTTATTGGCTATAACAACTATAAGAATAATAACAACAGTCAACAAACATTGAGAGTTACAAAAGTGGCTATTAACGATTTTTTAAAAATATTATTTACATTTTCTTCGTGACTCGTGTACACAAATTATATTTACACTGAAACGAACCATTTGTGTCCTAATTTAGTTTTTTCTTTCGCAATTCGACCAAGTACACTCGGTGGCAAATAAGTGCACTAATTAATAATCTAGCGGCTATGGAATTGTAATAATAATATTGTTTTATTGTTATTATTACTTATTATCAATTGTCGACAGTTTTGCAGTTGATGGTTAGCTCGATGTGGTCCGCCTAGGAGCATTTGCTTTGGCAATAGTTTGTATAATAATGTTATACATTCTTAGTTCAATGTTTTTGAAAACCCGCATATTTAATATTCAGCAATTAGATAGTATTCACAGAAATCAATTTATATAATATAAATAATATTATAGCTTTAGACAATTATAGTACATAATAATAGTATTCCTCTAAAGATAAACCCAATAATACATAATATTATAAATCGTTTTATATATTGTCTTATTTACGCTGCGCTATCGTTTTGATTCATTCAAATTAGTATTTTTTGTTTTTATAATATAATATTCTGTTTTGTACACATTAGTCTATGTTTATAACGTCTGATACGTCTGTGATGTTTATTGTTTTGACGCGTTAAGCTTATATAGAAATATTTAAGTAGTTATAATAATATAAATAGTGTAATTAAATTGTAGATGATTATGAACATTATTTAGTACGTCTATATGATAAAGTTAAAACGGTTTGAAATTAAAACGCAAATATGTCATGTAAACATTTTTAAACGGTTTAATCAAACATCAAACCGTTTTCAAAATTAAAACTGTTTTAAACTTACAAAACGATTTCTTAATTGAACATATAAACGTGGCTTTTTCATTTTGTATTTGTATTATCACAATCATACCAGAATTATCAGTTTTCGTTAAAAATGTTTACTGAACCTATTTAATTTTAGGGACATACTAGTATAAACGGATAAAATAGTTATAGAGCTAAACCGTTTTAAGAAATTTAAAACTGATTTAAATTTAAACAGTTTTAACGCTATCATATAAATGTATTAAACGAACGTTTGCGTCTATAGATAAAACTCATTCAACAATAGTATTTGTTTTGTTTTACAAAAATATTAAAACTACCGATGATTATAAATGCTGACAATAGTCAATAATATACTATAACAATCTAGACGAAAACTGGGACAAACGAAACAGCCGATTTTATTATTTATTATTAAATGCAAATATAGTTTTTTTTCATACAGCCATATAATTGTTAATTGTTTATAGTTAGATAAACTTGTTTTAGGTAAACTAATCATTTTTGGTCCATTGATATTTAATACAAATGCTCGCATAGTATCAAAGAATAATAGTAGTTCATATATTCCAAAGGACGATTACCTCTCTCTTCATTTCCACCAGTCGATACGTCTATACAAATTTAACTAAATAATTGAAAATAATTATTGTTCTGGTAAGGGCATTTTATGGGTTGAACTAAAAAAACCTCAACAATCAATCGCTTTAATTTAAAGTGAACAAAATATAATCGTAAACCACATGTGAGATTTCAAATTAATTGTTCATTAAATACTAATTAGCTTATAAATGAATTTATTAAAATGTTGTTTTAAAACAATATCCTTTTTTAATGAATACTGTAAATGCATATAAATCAATAAAGCATTATAGTAATTAATATTCATCTTTACTTTGCTTAAAACAGAACAGACAACAAACCTTGAGCCTAAAATTTCCAATTTTATGTTTAGTACTTATTAACTTTAGACACAACAGAGCTTTAAAGTTTTTTTTAGTGAAAGCTTAGTAAACATTATTGTATGTGTTAGTCATACGTATGGATAGGTAATCCAACTCATTTTGGCTAGAAAATGAGATTGGTCTTTTTATGCCCAAATTACAGATTTATACATTTTATATTATGGCTGTACGATTTTGTGTATTATATTTGAGACACTTACATTTTTAGAAAATATAAATTCACACTTTTACCAATATATATTTTCATTTCATGTATAACATTTTTTTTTGTTGAAACGGTAGTTTACTAGTTTTAACTGTATCATTACTCATGTTATAAACATAATTATTTTTTTTCAAAAATCAATAATAAGAGAAACAAAGTTTTAAATACTCCAGTTTATTTAGTTTTATAACATCAAATCATTTGTTGTAATTTGTATTTTATTTTATAATAATTATAGATAATGTTATATTCTAATATTATCTTGGTTTTCATTTTAATCTTTTTTGTTGAATTACATATTTTTTTTTAGAAAGGACAAAATTCCGACAGTGGATTAACATGTCAAGAAGTCCATTTTGATGGTATAGATAGGTAAGTTATTGCAATAAAAATGTATTAAATAAAATAATACTTACATTTTTATTTCTTACAAAGGTTTACAGTAAACAACAAAATACTATACAAAACAATATCAGAATGGTAAGTACTTATTATTTAAATTATATTCTTACATTTGTAACATTTGACAACAATTATTTTTTTTTTTAAAAAGGATTTAACATATTTTTGTATCGATCAACTATATACTCTGTTAATTCAGCGGGATACCGTAGCTCAATTAGTTTTTTATAATTCATTGTCATCACATTTAATCCGATTTTTCTAAAATGTCTGATCCTCGTGTCTTCAATTCCAATTAGGTGGTTGCTTTCCCAACAATAGTGTTCAGGTAAATGTATAAGAATGGCGGTACACATTCCAGGGTTTTCTTTGAAGTTTATGTACCTACAGTCAATTTTACAGTTTTCTGGATGTATTAATGCGTCAATGAAATAAATACTCATTACTGGCAATTGGCTCAAGATGACTGAGTAAGACACATCCAAGTCTTTGAAAACATTCTTAATATTTTTGCTGATGTGTTTCACAATTTTTTTTATTCGGAAATCTAACCAAATGCTTTTGGCAGAATTGTCTTTAGGTAGAACGGGTCCATTGTAGTGTTCACATTCCAACGTCATGCATTGATCAATGAGTTTTAATTTCATTTTGGTTTGATCATTTTGTCCATCATCGTCATACAACTGTTGTAAGAAACTAGCATTGAATACTCTGTGAATAAAATTCAGAGGATGTTTTTCAAGATAAACACAAGCTAATAACATGTCCAGTGTTTCTTTAGACCTAAAGTTAAAAAACTCTTTGTTCATTATGTCTTCAATTTTTTTCCAAAATTCATAAGCTGATTTTGGCTTGTAATTTAACTGGCCAAAAGGCCAAAAAAGATCCCTTATTTGAGATGAACTTAAATTCGGCTCACAGTTTATTATATATTCTGCACAGCCTTCGAAAATGGGTTCTGAACGTATGTTGAATTTCGAACAGTAGTTCATAATTTCCACCATTAATGATGGACTGTAAATGGCTTTATGTTTCGCTTTAATGTATCGTTCTACAGCCTTTATAATTCCTATGTCGACATAATTAATTTGATTTAACTCTTTGATAGTGGAAGTTAAATTAGTTTCGCTCATTGTGTGTATATTAGTGTTGATCCACCGAGACGTGATTTTTAAAATGGTATTTGAATAGCATTTTGTTAATCTCATGGTGTATAAAATTTCTATCAAATCGTCGGCGCTTAATTTGTGCCAAAAATTTTGAAATTGTCTTTCCAACATGTTCATTATGGTCTTGCGACTCTTTTTGAGTAGATATAAAATTCTGAACACTTTAATGACGCTTTGTTCGTCAATTTGATCGCTCTTGTCCATTATTCCAACCCAAAGCTGATCTGCTTTTTTTACTTCGTTCAATTTGGAAAACGTATCGATTGACCTGCACAACTCATTTATATCTAGTTTACTTTCGATGACTCTGCATAATATTTCTTCAGAAATTATGTTTTTGAAAACGTCCAATGGCAAAACTCTTACACGATCAATAGGTATTAGTTCTAATGCTTCAACGACAGCCGAGTGATCGTCACCTTTAGAAATTATACCGAGTAACTTATTAAGTATTGGCGTTTTTGTGTAATCTATATTAGGTTTAGTCTCTAAAATTGAAGAAAGTCTGTTGGTTGCCACATGAAATTTGAAATTTTCTAGTTCTACAATTTTTTTCAATGCAACAAGCGCAACCGCTGGTGTTACATCGTCGAGCATGACTATTTCAAGAAGGTCCATTAACGATTTTACAGACGAACATTTTTTAAATCCTCGGATAACGTCAACAATTTCTTCTTCGGCTTTCTTACGTTCACTTTCAGTTTTTATATCGTTCAGTTTTTCTACTAGTTTGATTGTGCTCGTATTGATTTCTGATGTACAATCATTATCACAGCATATATCGCTGCCGCATACATTACGCACGATCAATGGTAATTCTCTGATATCGGTTCCTTCTTGTATAAGTACAGAAGTATGTCCTAACTTATTTGATTTGCATCTGATCTGTCGAGTTTTCAAAATGTTCATATACTGTAATAGATGAAAATAACTCACTCGGTTGGTTAGCAAACTTCGGAGTACTATCCTAGACATTTCCCCTTTTGTCGCTGCTGTACAAATTTCAAATATTATATTATTAAATATCCTTTTTTCAAATTTAAAAAATGTTTATTTTAACATCTGGATATTATGGTTGACTTGATTGATCCATTATTACTATCACATATTTTGCAACACCTAGATAAGATTATTGATAATGATAAAAAAAAAAATACAACTCATTTTCATGTGTAGTTCAATGTTATAGAGGTAGGTGGAGCCACTAGCACCGTTGGTAGTATGAAGCTTTGAATTTTATAAATTATTGTTGAGTTTAGACCTAACCAACCTAGGTATTAGGCATTACTTTTATACAATTTCAAATACATTTTTAAATTAAAAAAAATATATTTAAATAAAAACTATTAGTTAACTAAAATTGTATTTTTATTTGAACAAATTCAAATAACAAAATTAGTTTCTCAGCTAATAAAAAAGTGTTATATTATTAAATAAAATATTTTTTTAATTAAAATCCAAATGGAAGTAATTGTCATTGGCGGAACTACAGGGTGTACCTAAGCAAAGAAAAAGCTTTACTTTAGTAAATATTATTTGAAATTATAAATAATGATTTATTTGAAATAGTTAATAAATGTATTATAACAAGATTTGTGTCATATACAAATTTATTTTTAATAAAAGTATAATTTGTACGCTAAGTACACATGTATTTGTATTTTAAAATATGTTATTTAAATGTTATTTATAATTTTAAACAAAATGTTTTTAAATAATTTTTTAATTTATATTTTTAATTTAAAAAAAGTTATTTCGTTAAAATTAAATATTGATTGTTATTTGTATCTTAATCCGTTCAGTATATGATATAAATGTTTGGATATTTATCAATTATAAATTCAAGTTTTTGATTATTTGAGTTTTTATTTAAATAATCAAATTAATTTTTTATTTTAATAATTCCGAGGTTTACGTTCATTTTGTGTTAGATATTCTTTACGCGCTTGACATCAGACACTGTTTACAATAATTGGTTTCTTTGAAATTACAATTTTTATTTTTATTAATAAATGTTGGTTAGTCGTTAACATTCCCATTCGTTAATTTTTCCAAACATCAAGCAATGAAGGTTAAACATAAGAATGAGGAGAACCAGATATGCAACGACAAGGCAAGGCCTTTAGTAGAGAAGAAGAGTCGTTAACAAGTTAAAAAATTGAAAATAATTATTTTGTTTTATACATTTATTATTAATTTTTTTAGCCGCGTCATTAAAACAGAATACGAAAAAGAAGTTATGAGATATGCAACCAAAGTAACGTGTAACGCTCACAAATCAGTCATGGCCAAATGCAAACCAGGCTTGTTCGAATACCAATGCGAAGCCAATTTCTTACACTATGTTTATTTTGTTGGCGGATGCAGACATGTGGGATACAACAATATATGCTGTTCTGGGTTAAATGGGGCCGTCTTGCACTACGGACATGCCACTGAACCAAATTCTAAACTGATACTCGACGGCGATATGTGGTATGTATGTAGTTTGTATTACTGTTAGGTAGATAATAATTGGCGTTAACTTGACCATGATTATTTATTGTGTAGTCTTTTTGATATGGGGGCTACGTACTGCGGGTACACTGCCGATGTTACAGTGTCCTTTCCCGCTAACGGAAAGTTTACTGAAGACCAACGCGCTATCTATAACGCCGTACTTGCTTCTAATCTGGCTGTTATGAAAGCAATAAAACCGGGTACGATTGGTTCAACTGTGGCTGTAATATAATATATTTCAAGTAAAGCGTTAATTTTATTGTTTCAATGTTTTGTCTTGTAAATCATTTTAGGTGTATGCTGGGTGGAGATGCATACATTGGCCAATAAAGTGTTGTTGAAAGGACTACGCGACATAAAAATACTCCAAGGGGACGTTGATGAAATGTATGAAGCGGGCCTCGGAGCTGTGTTTCAACCTCACGGTCTCGGTCATTTACTAGGTCTTGATGTTCATGATGTGGGCGGATATTTAGACGGTTGTCCAGAAAGGCCAACAATGCCTGGTCTCAAAGCTTTAAGAATGGCTAGAAAGTTGGAGGCCGGCATGGCAATTACTATCGAACCGGGATGTTATTTCATCAAACCGGTAAGACGGAAAAAACACATTATCGTGTATAGAAATAATATTGAATGTTGGTTGATGGCCGATAGGTGTTGGATCGTGCACTTAAAAATGATGATCTAGCAAAATTTTTCAACACGGAAGTACTTGAACGATTTCGACAATTTGGTGGCGTGCGTATTGAGGACAATGTTTTCGTTACTGAAGACGGAGTTGAAAACTACACGCCTGTGCCAAGAACGTAAGTTTAATCGACCAGTGAAGTGTTTGATGATACTTGTTTCATTAAGAGGACGTCAAACACCCGTTATTTTCTTCAAAAAACCTGCCTTGTGCGGATTAATTTTACAAAGGCTATAATCAAAACTAAGAAACCAAATTCTTACATAATATAGACAACAACATTGTCGGTGTTCTACCATCGCCCTTTTTTAAATATTTCAAACAGTTAATGAATAATTAATTAAAGAAAGGACTTTTTTAAATATGATATAGCGTTGGTTGTATTAGTATATCGAAAAAATACGGATGATGGAACACAGATAATTTTGTCATAAATAATATGTATGAATTTCTCTTTCCTTAACTATGTATGAAGCCTGATAAAAATTAATCTGCGCAGAGCAGTTTTGATGGCAAAAAAATTGTATTTTATCCTATAGAAATGACTGTGATAGTCTGACAAAAAAAAATGGCAATTAACAAGTATCCTCATTACTGTATAAATAAGTATACATTATAGTTAAAACTCTAAATTAAGATTTTTCGAAAAATTGCCTATACTTTACTCCTTAGAAATGGCCGGTGTGGCGTCCTCTTAACAAAAAATATCATTATTTTTTTAGCGTTGAAGAAATTGAAGAGTGGATGAGTAAAAAAGAAGCAACGGTATAATCACAGATTCCTATTAAATACGTTTTCTATTGATATTATACCATTAATTATTCATTATTTATATTGTGAAATTGTTGTATTACATTATTGTTAAAAACATGAATTATTTACCATTACATATTAAATACATATTGAATAATTATACTTAAATCATAATATTTTGTTAACAAATTATTAAAAAAAAAAACTAGCCTTAAAACTACATTTTAAACTCATTCTTGTATTCAATCTTAACAGTGAAGTTTTTAATAAATGCCAATGGTTTTTGATTACCCAAGTTTCAACTTTTTTTTTTTTTTACAAATATTCCATTGAACATTGATAACTGTTAAAACTTAACTATACAGCCTGTAATTTATACAGTATTAGGCTTGAGAATCGACTGCTGTTATTATAAGAAAAACGATTGTAAAATTAGTTTTAATTTATGGACAATATAAAGTAAAATCAAACTGATGAATATGAAAAATGTGATGACGTCCAATAAGTAATGTTCATAAAAGCTCATCTCTACAGCTGAAGATATTGTGCTTGTCGTTTCACTGTGTTTAATCACATACTCTGTCCAAAATACGGCTGTTTCCAACGCGCTCATCGGTCTGTCTCGAAATCTTGCAGACAGTTCAATTGAGTTTATCCGATATCTAAAAAAAAAAAAAAAATTGTTGCATATTGTAATCAATATATGGTCCTACTTTGTGAAGCCAAAAGTAAAAAAAGTTCAACCCTATTTACTGATAGCCCTTTAACTGAACGAATTTATGGGATGTTTTTGAATGTTGAACATTGTAATCTAGCTTAAATCCTCTTTAGTAAGAAAGAAAAAGTTTTTTACTATTATTATTATTTGTTTGTCAAAGATTGTGTAAATAAATGTGAAATGTCAGCAAATTAAGGCAAAAAGGTAGGAAAGTAAAAACTTATTACTTATAATTTAGGTTAGGTTTGATGTAGATTTGTATTCTGAATACAGTGGTGTCATTATGTCTGATTTATTGTTAATATTGTAGTTCTTTTCTATTTGTTGGTTGAAAAGTGATTTTTTAGAAACAAGTTTTTATGGATTTTTTACAACTCAATGTTATAATTATTAGTTATTAAATTTTCTTATGTTTATATTTTGAGTTACAAAAAATGTACTTAATTAGTTAAAAAGTATATTAGGTATATTATTAGTTACTTAAAATTGTTTTTTTTGGTCAAACATTATTTTTCATAATTTATGTAGTATGATTACTATTAATTCAATAATGGTAAGAAAGAATAGGAACTATTTGGGGGGTACAATTCTTAAGTACTATATTATAATGTAGCAAAATGGCATTCACTTAATTAAAAAAAAAAATGTATAAAAACCTTATACTCAAAAATTACACTTAAGCAATAAAACTACTTATACATATTATACCTAGTATATAATATGTATTTATTTTTTCTAATTTTTTGAAAAAAAAATATCCACCTTTCAAAAATTCCTTAAAATGTTTACAGGAAATGTTGAATAATTTCTCAATTATTACATTTCTGGAAACAGCTTTCCTATATTGTGTCAAAACAAACAAAGTTGATTTCGTATCAAACATAATCTGTATCAGCTATTGAATGTATGTTAAATCATTGATTTTATAATCAACAATTTTTTTTTTATTATTACTTGTCGTCGGTGACGATGGCTCGTATGCTGTCGATCAACACGTTTTCGTTGATCAACCGGTAGTTTAATCCGATGGCCACGCCCCTCTGCACGCACTTGGCCACGTTGGCCGGTTGGTCGCCGAACACCGGTATGCCGATCATAGGCACGCCGAAGTGGACGGCTTCCATGACTCCCATCAGACCGCCGTGCGTTATGAACACCTTGATGTTGTTGTGGCCTAAACAGCAGGGTCACACGATACGCCTGATAACGGTCATCAATAACCTAACCAGCAGCTGTGGATCTTAGTTCTTACTCAGTATGTCTTGTTGCGGCATCCATTTGGACACTCTGATGCGTTCCGAGTCAATACCGTCGCCCTCGTACTTCCATAAAACGCAGTACGGTAGTTTTTCGAAAGCTCGGACCAACGACGACACGAAACCCCGAGGAAACGATTCGCCTTTGATTAGAGAACCAAAAGATACGTATATGACTCCTTGGCCGCATCGGTCGCAGAATTCGGTCCATTCCTTTAACGACAAAGAAATGATCATGACACGCACCAATCGTGACTGGTAGGCCGTGGGCCACGAATATTCAATTAAGAGTCCTCACGTTATTCCTAGAAACCGTGTAAGGAGTTTCTTTCCCCTATGACCCTACATTATAAAGATTAAAATTGGTATATCATTGAGATTCCAAACTATCGAAGGAAATTAACGTGACCAAACCACCTCAATCTATATTTTGTTTCGTTGTTCCTGCTATTGGTGACACTCAAACTGTCTTATATTATACTGAGTATTTTTAACTAGTCACTTCACAGACCGTATGTCTATGTTAACAGTTGCACAATTAATTTCATGACAACTTTGACCTCGTTTAAAATTGACCCAACTCTAGAACCTCTGTCTTTAATAACATACACATTCACTTCACTTATCGCTCTCGATAATTCAATATCAGCTTAACTGATACAAGGCTCCTTGCCAACACACTTGCGTACATACATTTCCAACGCAAATACCATAATTGTTGGTCATTCCTTCGTTCTCTCGCATTACTGAAATACTGATGCTTAAATTACTCATTAGTCATTATCATTTGCTCTCCAAGCATAACATGTCATGTTTTACCAATCTGCTTTCAAGTTTCATCTCTGTCACTCGACGTGAACGCTCACTTGTACATAATATCATCATCGCAGGCTTCCTCTGTTGTTTTAGTTAACTATTAATGTTGTCAATACAATTGGGCTTACATTCGTAGCGTTAGGCTTAGTGTCTCTGATGTGTATGCCACCGACTTCGACCACGTTGGGCACGGTAGGCCTGGCCTGCAAAATACTGTGATGACTGTTGACAAGTACGAGCGAAGTCCGGGCCACGATTTCGGACATTGGCGGCGTGTCGACGCCGAAGTACCGACGTGCCAGTTCGGTGGACGGGCCGTCGGAGAACGCGTGGAACCCAATGGCACCCAAGTGTGTGGACGCCGCGTTTACCAACCGCTGGACGAACGTCAGTGGCGGCCAGTACGTGAGCAAGTGGTTGACTAGATAGGCCGGGTTCTGGGGGTTGGCGGCCCGCTGGTGGACGTGCGGCGATCCTTCGGCGGTGCGCATCGATATCAACGGGACGCCGAACTTATGGGCGAACGCGGCGAAACAGTCGGACGAGAATATTTCGGTGAAGACCACGTCGAACCCGGTAGACGGGCCGCGGATCAGCCGCAACACTTGCGGATGCGCGAACGCCGCGTCGCACACCATGTAGTTCATGTGGCACAAGCTCCGCAAACGGGTGACCGGGTTGGCCGTCACACTGGTCATGTCAGTTACGTTCAGCTGGCTGATCACCGGCGGCAGCACGTCCGACACGTCGATGTCTACGTAGTTGGGCGGCGGGCTGCGTCGCGGAAACGGGCTGATCACCGTCACCCGGTGGCCGCGATCCGCCAGCGCCTCCATCAGCGGCGCGACCATGGCGAAATGACTGTGGCCGTTAAACGGGAACACGGCCAACACGTTGGCGCATCCGGCGTCGCGCGCGGCCGCCAACAGCAACACCGCGGCCACACAACAACTGCCAACGGTCATGGCTCGTCTGTGGACATATAGAATTGTTATCGATGTGCATTTTTTTGAGAAATAAAATGTTGTACAGCAATATGTAAATACGTTTTTTTACTAAGCAATATAAATATATTTGTACATTGTGTATACATTTTTGGACGCAAAACATTCAAATTTTTGTTCCTATTTTTTTATAGAAGCCACGTAGAGTTTTTTTTGTTATAAACATGTCGAACGGTTATAAACTTTCAAACGTTATTTTTTAAAAATTATTTCTAAAAATGCACTCATCACGCCCGTGCACTATGTCGTTGTTATTTTCAGTAAAACCGTTGTTGTTGATGACAAGGCGAAGTACTACGACGTTTGTCACATGACGTTGCCGGCACACTGTTTAATATTGAATTAAACAAATAAGATACATAGTTAAGAATCATGAGGTTCAAACCGGTTTTCAGGAAGCTCGGTAACCTTCTTCGCGTTAACTTCCCGGTTGCATTGGCATTCGGATCCTATGACAAAACACAACCAACCAGGATTGCTCAGATTAATATTATGTGTTCAAGGTCCACGGATGATGTTTTATATATATATATATATTTTTTTTATAGAAACCCTAAAAACCAATAAGTGTTGACCATATTTTTGAGTCCCGGGATAAGTGCACTGAGGTCAAGTCCTTAATATTTGGCCTAAAATGGTTTTATCAATCTTACTGGGAGGGACTGGAGCTGGGGTCTTATTACTTTGTTAACCATAATCACTACTAAAAAATATAAGCATTTTAATTTCAACCATCACCATTGAACAAAAACTCGATACTCTTTTAAGCAACACAACTAAAATACATATTCGCCTCGTGTAAAAAGTAGTCATACTGATCTAATGATTTGTTTTGTTTTTGATATGTGTATACGGATTTATATATATTGTTTATGTACTATGCATTTTTTTCAAGAATCAAGTCATTTATATTTTTGAAAAAAATTAAGTCGTAGGAGATCTTGTAAATATAATCATGGATATCAACAAAAAACACAATATTTAGGTAAATGTATCAACGGGTAACAAATTATTGTATTTATAAATGAGTTGTTCGAGTTTTTTTTCTTGGGAAAGGGTTAATGATATTTTCTTGATAACCCTAAACAAAACCACTATAATTTTTTAATATTATTTTATATTTGAATCAAATTGTTTACCTATGTATGTATGTATGCTCTTGCAATTAGTAACGACTTATCCTCATAGGACGACCGCCGTGTACTGCTCTAACCAGAGTGACTTGATTGGAATAACGATAATTAAACTTAATTAAACTTGATTAGAATGTTAAATTAACTTAAACTGGAAATTAAAATTGCATTTTTTTAAAACTTTTTTTCTTAAAAAAAAAATATATTATACTAGATAACTTTTTAAAAAATGCGCATTAACTCATATTTACTTAAGTATTGTAAAAAAAAAAAAACGAATTATACTTTTTCTAATTATTGTTTTAATACGTAAAAACAAACCAACTATGGTCAATATTCGTAAACATGTATGGCCGAAGTATATTATAGCAATTATATCTTTACAATCTCAATTGCAAAATAGCTGTAACCCGACGAGAGGTCGTTAACATTTTTTGACAGGGTCAAGGTCATAATGAAACGAGAAGTACATTTTTTGATGATGCAGTAATAATAAATAGCTACAAAAATTATTCTGTGATAATTCTGTGATGCTCTTGTATAAGGATATATATATATATATATAATATATAAAACAATTTTATTTTTTGGGGATGGGAAGAGTTAAGTAAAATAATTTTTATACCTATTAATTTTGGAATTTTACCCGAGAAATTACCGCAGCAAACATAGTTGTTAAGTAATCAATTAAGATGTTGGAAATATCTTATTTTACTTTTTATGATTTTTGTTGTACATGTCAATTTGTTTGTATTTTAAATTCTTAATATTGCACATATCAAAAGGCTGAAAGTTCCTTAAGTGTCTTTGCTGTGAACATTGGGCGTGTTTAAAGGATTTTGTGTTTTATGATTTGGTAGTTCCGGTTTTTGGACCATTCCTATTAAAAATTAATATATTCCCATTCACATTAATTTCAAAACTAATTACCTTAAAACATTTTTTTGAAATTTTTAACAAAAAAGGTGTAGGTAATTTGGTTTAATAGTAGCACTACATTGTAATTAGTAATTTAAAAAGTATAGGTTCCTTGCATACTTATTACAAATTAGGTATATGTTTATAAATTAAGTAAAAAACATTTTAAGTGTAGTTTTATTCTAAATTAAAAAAATGTATGAAATAAACTTTAAGTAATATGGAATATCATTTATTATAAATAATAAATCTTTTTTTGGTAATGCGACCACCCCGTCACATTACAATTTAGGCGCCTTTGTGCTTTAATCCATGCTTGGGCTTTCCAGTATGACCTACCTTTCTTCTAATGCTTCCATTATTTTTTAAACAATAATAACTATTAATAATAATGAATATAGTTTTATAATCAAGGGTAATATCACCATTGTTTTGTTTACAAAATAAAATGTATTATTGAACTCAAAAAACATTATTACACTCAAAGTGTAATGCATTTATAATTACCATTTAATTAAAAATAGAAAACGGTGTCTTTATTTCTTTTACTGAGTTGGCGGTATTTTTTTTTTGTATAATTTGTAGTATAGCTTCGCTTACCTATTAAAAGATAAAAAAAAACTTACTTTTATTATTATTACATTTTAATTTACCGTTAACTTTTTAATAAATATTAAAATATTTCCGATTGAAGAATATTTTACTAACCTAACCTTTCAATAATCTTTATTCAAATTTCAAACTTAAACGGCAACCTACTTTACTTTAAATTAATTATTAAAACGAATATAATGTGCTAAAAATAACAATACCGCGGTTTTTAACAAATTTAAAATTAATTACTTTTCGAGTTGGGCGTAAGTGGATTCAATGACGTAGGCAGAATGTGTTGTACGAGCAGATATTTTTTATAAAAATAATATATATTTTATAAATACCGCACCCTCTCCCAAACTCTGCCAACACTTTTAAACGTTATTGAAATGTTAATAAAAACTAATCTGGTAACCGACAAAGTGTGTCTATACATAGATTATATTATTATATTCTTGTTGTAGTACATTAATAATGCATTTATAATATATTAAACTTAAGGGGAACGCTGTTTTATAAGTGGTTAAATGATAGACGGTATTTGACAGAAGTTGATCTATTTGAACAATTATTTCAAACATTACCTAACTTATGTTTGTTACATATATTTAAAAAAAATCTGTGTGTATTTTGGTGAATGTTTGATAAAAACATGACCTTTGCGTAAGTCACTGTTAAACGCTTATACCTTTTGAACTATTTAAGGGAATCGACAAAAAAATGATTACATTTTTTAGGAAAAGATGAGCTCTACATCAAGAAAATCAAACATTAAAACCCAGTATTTAGTCATGCATTTAATATCAAAAATGTTAAACATCTTAAAATAAAAATTACATTTTTCGTAAAACCATTCCGTTTATATTTGAAACAAACTATAATTAATTTACCTTTTAAAGTAAAAATAAACTAATTTTAAAACTTATAATCGTAAGCCAATTGAAAAAAAATGCCTTTAGTACACACTTAAGTATTGATTATATATGCTAAGTGCTTATAGCCTATAATTTAACATGATAATAAAAACATATTGGTCAATTTGACAAAAAAAGATAAATAATAAAAAATAATTGTTATCGATTTTTAATTGAATTTATACAGTTTTAAAATAACTACTTAAGGTGGAAATCTGAGTAAAAGAGTTAATAGGAATGCAATGTGTGTGTTTTTTAAATCAAAATTTAGATTGTACTTTTGAAATTTCGGAACAAATTTAAAGTATCGGTACAGATATTGAACTTTTTTTTTGTCAATGTTTTAGATATTTAGCATTATTACTTCATCAAATTGGTGGGCATTGAATATTCGATACTTGACATGAGATATTTGACAAATTTATTCGAAAAAATACAGATAGTAGGCTGCTTATTATACGAGTTGTCGTCCTGACACAGTTAACTGATCAGTGATTGATATACTTATAAATAGGTTAATATTAAAAAATTAAAAACGTAATAATGAGTACCTATTTAAAAAAAAAATCAAAGTTAACTTATTTTTTAACCTTATACATAAATATCAAAGATAAAATAAATGAATAAGAAAACGTATAACGTTATTTTTCCCGATACGAGTGGAGGAAATAAGGGACTCCCTCCTACTTAGTCCACAGCTGCCCGGAGCTATGTCTCAAGGGGGGAGGGTTTCTTCCCGGGGGCTTAGAGTCCATAAGTAGGGCGGTTCAAAAGCAAAGGCTGTGCCCACTCCTGTGAGCCTTTATAGTTACTTTTTTTTTTTGTTATATTCATATTGGCTTAGAAATTATCGTCATTGACCGAGTTTTTGGGAATGGTTATCACATGTTTATAAGCCAAGAAGTAAAGCTGATTTAAAAATGTTAAGGAACCAAGTCCTCTATACTTTACCTCCCTCTTTTCTGACGTATAGCCTTTTAAAATCAATGCGTGTTATGATGAACTCCGTGTGGCGTGTATACACACACACACGCATTTGTGATAAAATAGCCTACGTCATTAAGCTGAAGAAATTAAACGGGAAAAAAGTTACAGTAGTGTATTTCTTTAAAAATGATTTTTATTAGTCTGCGATAATATTATAATATAATTTGCGGTCAGTCGCTTGTCCTCCTGTAATTCTACAACACTTACGTTGTTCGTGTGACGTCCGACGGGCGGGTCATGTTTTTTTTCTATACATACCTTCGATAAACCGACGTTTCCTACATGGCCAACATTTATTATCATATCATGTACATATAATTATTATACTCGTATGTTATCCGAAAATAACACATATTACTATTAGACGTTTGTGTGGTAGTCGACTACGCGGTATGAGAGTGCACGGAAGTCTTTAAGAGCTGTTTGAGGTGAGTCGTTCAACGATAATACCTTACATCGATAAAAAAAATCCATAATAATAGATACACACTATAGTAATAACCAATAGTAAACCAAGGGTTGGCAAAAATAAATCTGAACTCTGAAATATATATATATCATAAATAAACGTTTAATAATCCTTTAAAAAAAAAATCATTATTTTAGTCCTAAAATAAATTTTATAAATTTTGTTGAAATCTAGTTCTAGAAAACAATTGGAAAAATACCCATATAAAAAAAACAGGTTGGTGGTTTTATTGTTTGAAAACGTTTGGTTGTAACACAAAAATAAAAAAAATACTTTCATCGAGTCGATGGTTAAAAAATAAAACAGGTTCTTGCCAAATCTACAATTAGTAAAGTATATGAATCAGCGTAGCATGATAAAACAAATAATAACTACTTTCAAAATAAAAAATGTTTTGCGAAATTAAAAATTATCTTTTATTAAAAAAAATCATAAGCTATATAATCTTTCATCAAATGTGTTTTCAAATAAAGCCGTTTCTAGGGTTTACACCAATATATTGCGTTAATGTTTAAGGTTTAAACGTACAAAATGCCATAGTAACTAACAAATTAAAGAAAATTTGATGAAAATATCCGAATACTGCACTATAGTTTATTAAATAATGCCATGGATAATAGTTAAATTAGTAACGATTAAGAGATTTATTACGGGTAAAACGTTAACTTAATCATGATTAAACGAAGTTATTTAAGTAAAAATGTATAAGAAAAAAATTACTTGATGTATGTAAGTTAATATCTAATTGTAATTTTTTTTTTGTGTATTCGACACTTTATAAAATCTAAGCAACAAAATACCACAACAATATGATTTTTTAAAAATAATATATCTCGACTGACTGAAACATAAGCTATTTTTACGTCAAAAAATATACCCATTAATTATTATTTAGATTTTGGTTTTTTTATTTTGACGGTTTAAATAATTTATGGTACTTAGAAAATTTCAAGGCTAACAACGAGTGTGTTGGTTCGTTTTAGCGAAGAACGGTGATGTGGCATTAATACGTCGCTCAAATCTAATACATTTAAACATTCTACTTTTTGGTATAGATTAGACAGGTTATCTGTTTTTTGTCGTAGTTAGTAAAGAATCTCAAGTCAAGTTTAGAATGTAAAACAGTATAATCGTTAAGTTTGCAGTTGTGTTTGTGTTACATGCACACAAAATGAAAAGAGGATAAGCGCACTACCGTTACAAGCTCATATCAGCTTGGCCAGTCATGTTAGTGAAAACCAGTGTTGGAAAACGTTATGGTTCTATAGTTTCTACAGTGGAAATGATTAGTGTTCTGAAATAAGAAAATTCTGAAGAATTGAGCCGAGACAACGGCCAAAGTTGCGAATGGTCATGGCGTTCAATTGGTTCCTCTTGTTGGCACAACTTGTAGTTGGTAAATTAGGCCGATGGAACAGATCCCGCGAGAATGCCAATAAAGGTGTATTTAAAGTAATATGTGCACTGAAGCTTATAGATTTCATAAACGGTGACAATATTAATTACACTGAATTTTACCTGACTCGATCCAAGATTTGCTCTTGATACGAAACCAAATATTGAAATTTCCTTATTGGTGTTTGCAAGAGTGTCCACCATTTAAGAAGAAGACTTAAATAGGGCATTGACTTTCACATTTAAACCACGCCACAGTTATTACAGATGCACTCAAAATTCAGTACAAGAGTAAAAATGTCAAAACTGGGATCACAAACTAGTAAACTTGTATACAAGCAATTAAATTATTACACCCATCACATAAACAATCACTTAACACAGCTCGATTGTCGAACTGCATATTTGAGTGAAGTTTAATATTATCTCGTTCTAGATGACGTTTTTAAAAAAATATTTTAATTATATTTTAGTTATACACTATGCATTCAATATATTTCATTTTGTTTTTGAATGATTGTGGCAGTGACTACTAGACTGATCAGAGATAGTACTAGCGAGCGCAAAATGTTCCATTGTTACTGTTATTCTAAATAAAGACAAGATAAATTCAACGAGATAACGAATACTGAAGTAATTAATCCGGAGTCAAAAAGGCCTACAGGCGATTGTTAGTCGACTTTGTTTTGCTAGTGATCTCATCGAACAAAGTAATAATATGACTGTCCTCCATCTACCATCTAGTACGAATATAACCTAATGCGTGTTTTATTTTCCAACCAACGACAAGGCTTTTATGTTATAATTAACATTCTTGTTTCTGAGCTTATACAATACCCATCAAGATTCCACACTGTTTTGGCATCAGCTTTTCATATCTCTTTTTGACACTGGTATCTTTTATCTTGTCCGCTGGCCTTATATGTCCTTCTGAACAGTATCCAGCAGTTTTATCTAGATCTACCGATTTAAGATGACGAAGTACTGATAGACCAGAGATGAGGAGAACCACGCGGAAAAGGTTTAGAAACAACCATGATTGTGGATAGAGCAAACAAGGAGATGGCAGGGTGAGTTTCATATGTGAAAGTATGTAGGAACCCTGCTAGAAAATAATGGATTTCAAAGGGCACAAATGATAAGAAAAAAATGAATGGATGAAATGTAGAGACTTAAGTTCAAATTGTATGATCATTGGTCATAACTTTTGCTGGTATCAGAATGTAGCGAATATAAACAAAACTATTTTGATAAATGATGAGCAAAACGACTAGAGCGGATATAATGAATGGTAGTTATTAGGTGTGGCTATGCTACGAGGAGAGAAGATCAAGACCCAGCAAATGTAGATGGCAGACTCGGAAAGAGATGTCAAGAGGTAATTGTAAATTATATCAGAGAGGCTGGTGTATGTATAAATGACAGTATAATCGTATACTAATTTCGGTATTAGTTGAGGGTTATGATGGTTTGGAGAAGTGGTAAAATGGGTAAGAAGAGATGTCTTCTCTTTATTTGAACTCACCATACCCGTAACGTGGTAACAATTGTTTGAATTTTTATCTTTCTAATATTTATGCTAATCTAACATGATTATAAATGTCGGAGAGTTGAATTGGTGCCGCCCAGTGATTGTCGATAGGCGATTCGGAAATAGAACGTTATTGGCATAAGTCGTTAAAATGCCTACAAATGCAATTGAATCGATTCGATCCGAAAATAACGCACACAACTGCTAAATAACTCTAAACAAAAATAATTCAATTAATTTTTATTCGTTTTTCCGCGACGGACCTTGGCGCGTATAAATTTTATCGCAGTTTTCATGGACTCGGGCCAACGCTGTATTACCTACTTTTATTATGTGTTACAGATTGGTATCACTTTTAACCTATTATACGCCACGGAGATAGGATTTTCCTTGTATTCATCAAAACCCTCACGGTCTTGTTGGCGTCACGCTCGCCTATCGTGTCGATAAGAGAGAGAGAGAGAGAGAGAGAGAGAAAATTACTTTTATTATTTTGTAACGTCGTATTGCTTTAAATAGTGCGTGCAATAGCTAACGCGTAGACTAAAGGTCAGACGTGAATTAACAAAACTAACAAAAGATAAACGGGTAGGTAAGTTAGATATTTTATTTTTTAATTTATGAACACTCAATCACGAATACTTTGCAGTTATGTCATAGATAAGAAAATGATTAATAATTGCTGACATTTTGAAATCGTTGCAGAGTTCATCTACAAAGCGATAATCACCGTTCGCTGTCTGGCTCGCTTCTTTTCTACCGCTATTTATGCGGTAGAAATTGTAGAACAACAAAAGTACAAAACCATTATTGTCAAATAAATACTTAAATTTATTTTCGGGGTCAACGGATCAAGAGCGAGATGAGAGACGACGCCACTGGTTGCGGGTATACCACCGTCCTTCGTCGGTACATGTATTTTGCATTTTCTTGTACGTTGACCCCGTTCGTGTGCGGCTCGGACGATTTTTGGGTTAACGGGGTGGCGGCTGTGGCGGGTATGGCTTGTTCCCGGTGGAGGTAAAACGCCGGCGGCGGCCGTACGCGTTAGTACACGGGTGCAAGGACAACAGGGGCCAATTAGCGTCCGTACGTGCCGGGGTCATTCGGTCACAGCGGAACGCTATCTGCTCGCCAAGCGAACCTCCCATGCCGCCCCGGGGGCCAGCCGTATGCGCGTCAATCGATTTTCGCCCGACCGCGCGAGCGGTGTCCGCGGTCGATGTAGGCGGCGGTCGTCGCGAAAGAGCCGCATAGAAACACCGCCGCCGACGACGACGACGACGACGCCTCCGCTGCTTCCACCGCGTCACACGCAGACTAGCACACGTACGGACCCGTGTGTCAGAGCGCGGGCGCGCGCGCGCGCACACCCGATCGCGGGCGCCACTTACACGTTAAACGCGCGCACGGCATACCACCACGCACGCATAGAGCAAGTCTTTCTCCCACAATTTGTTGACCGCCGCCGCCGAACGCAGCCGCGCGCGTATCGTTCGCGTGTCACCCGTGTAAAATAATAATACCCGTACTATCAGCCGCATCTCTCGCGCCCATACCGTCGCCCGTACGACGGCTCAAGCCAGCGGCCATCCGCATCCACGCGTCCACGGTGTGTTGTGTCCGGCCCGCAGGCAATCGGTTGTCGGCGCGCGGCTGTCGCTAATCCCCCCAATACGATATTATTTCTCGGACCACCTGCGCTCAGCCACCACCGCCGTCGCAGCATAGCTCTCCCTCTCGCACCCGCCGTCACCCAAGTCGGCCCCGATCGCTCTTCCGTCTGTGTCGATCCGTGTAGAAGTGTAACAAGTGTACATCACATAATGTGTTATTACAATGTAAATGATAAACGGTGGTAAACGAGTGCTGCAAGTCTTGTGGATAATCAAACCGTCTAACTGACCATATATCCATTTACAGAACGTAAGTCCTACCGCTTAAAAACCATTAAATCGCAAAAGATTGTTAGATTTTATTGCGCGTCGCGGCAAACGTTGCACTCAACACTTGGCTTGCAGTCGAAACACATCAAGGAAATTGAAAACGAAACCCAAAAATTGAACACTTAAATCTCACATTCAGTCTTGACTTCTGAAGAGACACTTCTGTTCCTCTCATACTCAGATAGAATTTGCCCAAACCAGCCATGTCTTGCTCACTGTCAATGTCTATCATTAGCTTTTCACACTGATCTTTTTAATGTCTATGGGTCTGCAAAGTTTCCAAAAGTCACCCTTTGGCCATCTGTCAAAATCCAGGGGTCGAAAAAATCCTTACGGATTGAACTATTAGCTATTTGGGACAACTGTATAATCTTTTTTTTTATTCACTCCACTAAGTTCAACCATAAAACCATGCATTATTGCGACACTACACAGCAAAAATTTTAACTTAAACAAATATAAAAATAAAATAACAATTTAACTGATCATCGCCGTGCCACAGATAGAAGTCTGTAGTGATTTCCATAGTGAGAATAAACTAGGATTGGGTAAATTGTTCTTGTATTTAGGTATCATACCCGAAGTTGAACCATATCTAGATAAAATACCCATCAGGCTATAGAACAATTCTCAATAACTGTTAGTCCTATAACTAACGATCTGAAAATATTTTTATCTTTTCTACATTTTACGTACACACTTTAAATTAGTAGCGTCAGTATCTCATCGTCAATTTTTAAAACAAACATTTGATTTTATTTTCATCGTGTTATGAAATTATGATTATAAGTAATTTTATATTCATAAATTCAAGTTCGCCAAATTCGTTTCAGAATGGTTTAATTTGTAAATTTGTACGTTTTTAGTATAGAGTACATGTCTCTCACTTGCCCCACTTCTTAATGGGCACCAATAGGTAGGACCCTAAACAATAATTGAATGGCGTTATGCAAAAAGCATAAATCCTCAAAAACATAACAAATGAGATTTCGATACTACTTGATACAAAATGTCTTTTTGCACATCTGGAAAATGCATATAAAAATGTTTAATTGGGGAGCTATTTATCAATGTTTTAAATCTAACAAAATGATATGAATTGTTGTAAAACATCAAATTATTCCAAAATAGAGATTTCTGGGATGGCTGCTTTCTGCGTAACGCCATTCGATTATAATAACTCGATATTAGATGTAAATTCAATTTATTTAAACAGTACGACTAAAATGACACTATCTATGGTCTAATTTCACCCTTTAGGTCTCAAAATACCTTATATAATAATTAAAAACAATCTATTTAGCGAAGTTAAAGAAATCCATTTTAAGACCGTTGTTAGATAAATAAGAAATGCCTAATTAAAATTCCAAAAGAAGTACATTTTCTTATTATGGTAATTTTCGGAAAATTATAGCGTATCCAAATTGAAACTTGGAAAACCAGAGTAATTTTTATTTTAAGAGTTTCCTAAATTTTATCTAGGCTGAGTCAGAGCTGGGCAACTTTCTAATTACTGCCGGGAAAAAGTAACTCGCTATAAGTTGTAAGTTACTAATGGGGAAATATAAAACCGGAATTAGGAAGAATGACCTTTTTCAACTTTTGGGCTTGCAGGGATAACCTCTGGTGAACTAATTTTGATTTATAGACTGTAATACGTATGAAGAAACATATCCAATGGTTAATACGTTACAGTTGGTCCATATAAAAAAAAAAAAAAAACATCATTGGATGACAAGTACGAGTATACCTCTCAGGAGTTGGTCACTTAAAATGCCCAAATCAATAATTCTTAATATGTAGATAACTTTGCGTGGCCATTGTCACTTCATTTAACACTCAAATTTAACATTTTCTATGAACGCGTTGAACAAATATTTTCCATATTTAAACTATTAATATGGCAGTCGGCTGCGGCGTTTGACCTAATGAATCACGCTCGATAGCACAAGCGTGTGTTTACGTCTTTTGACAAAACAAAAACAGACTTCGCCGTTTCCAATAGACAGTATTATTATAATATTTATATATAGATATTGGATGTATACTTAAATACATGTATACGGTACCGGCTCGTTATCGTTATCTGCGCGTGCGAACGTTTGGAATTCGCTACACATGTGTTGTTGTTAACGTCAGAGACAGTAACCACATTTCTGTCGAATGGTAATTATTATATATATATATATGTATATATACCGACCACTCGTGTATGTTTTATGCATCCCATCGGTCTTTGTGTAGTAGCACGTTTTTTATGTTAAATAAATGAAAATGAAAAAAAAAAAATTACACAACGACCCGGAGTCGTCAAGTAACCGGACACTGAAATATTGTCTTTCCGGGCAAAGTCTTTTCAATTATGATAGTTGATATTCGTTTTGTTGACAAAAAAAAAAAAAACTCTCATCGTCGTCACCGGTAAGTCGGTCGACCGACGAAATCGCACGTACTCCGTTCTCGCAAAGTACTTATCAGAAAAAAAAAAAGTAATAAATAACACAAGAAAAGCCAAAAGGGTTAAGTGCAAACGCTGTCCAATTATTCTATTAGCCCCACGTGGCCGGCATACAAAGTCGGTGGTACCCATTTAGGTTGGGCTCGCAAGAGCTTTTGTACATCTCAGTAGAATTGTCTATTGTACATTTTATCTCTTTTATCGTATACTTCTATCTCTGAGAAATATACTTTTTGAATGGAAACGAATAAAAGGCTCGAAGCCGATTTACCAAAGAACGAAGTGTGCATTTTTATTTTTACACCCTCCTCTTGCGGCTAATTATTATCGCTAGACGATAGGCAAGGACGGCAAATTCCTCCTACTATGTTTTTAAGGTATCGACGATTCTTCCACAAACGAGGGGTTGGAGAGTAACATTACTAGTATACCCTGCGAGTTTTAAAATTACTTTTAACACCCACACCGTCGCTAATCGATGGCTGTTTAGAATAGATGTGGGCTATAAGAAAGAATTTCCGCCGAACAAAAATAATTACAATTTAAGTCACATAATACCTTCCATAGTGGGCGTCCAATTTTAAGGAATTAGTTGAATTTTTTTCAAAATGATTATTTTGTTGTACATCAATATTTTATTGCGAAGTTTATTTATTCTACTTATGTTATTATTGGAAGGGTTTACTGTGGAATTCTAAATTTTATCTGTGGTTCTTCTCTTGTTTAAAATTTGGACTTTTTACACCTAATAATTATTATAATAATACATTTTCTTTAGTTTTACACTTATTTTGTTGTATCTTTTCTCTAGGTTCTATGACGTTTTATTAACCTAACCTAACTCGATAAATAAAAAAAAAGTACTTTTTTTTAGATATTTTATGGAATTTAATAAATGTCAATTCATCATCGTAACAAATTTAATTTATGATAATTTATGTTGTAATTTTTACATATTTGATATTATGAACATTAAAAAAAAAAAATGATAGTCTTTTATAATAAAAAAAGTGTCTAATGAATTTAAATTTCTGTCAATATTTTTTTTAATCGACACAAGTCTTAATCAATTTGCAATAGTACTTGTTGGTTAGTAAAAACTGTCTCATTTTTTTGACCGACTTAATAAATAATTTAGTATATTTTCAATTAGAACTGCAATATTCTTCTTGACTTATTTTTTTTTAGTAAAAGTTGTGTTAATGATTTTATTGTTAAACTTGGACAAAAAAACCGATAATTTTTTAATCTTATTGGCAGTTGACGTAAATGGTTAAAGAGATCTTCAGAATTGAATCGATTTAGTATTTGATAGGCACTCGTGATTCTATCTGCTTCTCGTGTATTGTTAATGACGGCATCACGGGAACAGTTAAAATTCGACAATAAGCACTCATCATTATAATAATTATACGATTTGCGTGTGTTGTGTTAAGAGTCATAATGTCAAAAATCCCGTCACCTGTAATACATGTAATGACTATATTAATAGACAACGTCAGTAATGCAGTAATGATTGTGTGAATAATCGGTGTATATTATATGTGGTTCATTAACTGGACGTTTCAGTTGTTAGATTAGACACTTACCATCACATGCTCTGGCAATTTAGTAATAATATCATTATTTCATTTCCTGGCACTGGTGACAGTCAACGATCAGCAACAATACTTTATAGGATCGATTATGCAAGATAAGGAAATAATCCAAACTGTGGTGAGTAGAATAAAATTATTAACAGCGTTCTGCATAATATGTCATTTTGAAATTTACTGGAAAAAGGCCAGCCAACCGCGTCAATGCTTAACCTTCATTTTTTAAAAAATTGATTTTTATTTTAGAATTCTACTATTTGTGTTCAGATAGTCTTCCCACGCTTAAAATATATTTTACAAATTTGATTTTGATGGCTGTTAAGTTTAGATTTTGGTTTTATACATTAGCGTGAAACGAATGTTTGATCTAATCACACCTGGTGGTTAAGTGTGATACTGAAAAGGTTGGAAATAAATGCATTTAAATGTATATAATGCATATAAATTTTGATTTCAATAAAAATTTTTTTTTTTGAAATTTTACATGCTGACTAACGGGAGTCTAAACGAATCTAAGCATTTCGGTTTTTATGCTTCGGGTAGAGAAAAAGTTGTTTTTTGATTTTTTGAGTCTGAAAACGTTTATGATTTTTTGACTAGGTTCCATACTCGTTTTTGACGCCATAGTGATTTAACTAATTATCTTAAGCAAACTTTTAGTTGAAAACGGTTAACTTGGTACATTTCTCTAAAAAGACCAATTCAACTTTTTTTTTAAATTTAACGTCTGATTTACCAAATACTTTATGGTTTTTTTAATAATTAAAAAATTATAAATTCAGCCATTTAGCTTAGTCGGAATTCATACTGGTTATTATATTATATTGCTGGTGATGTGTTGAGCGTTAGATATTTTTGCGGCGCGTTTGGCAGTGTACATACATAATAATTGAATTTTACAAAAAAAAAAAAAAAATACACAGAACT